GTTAATGTTTTTAATAAAAGTTTTTTTCTGTATTTTAATGACATTTACATGTAATGTTAAAAAAAACAGAAAATATCTGTAAAATAATACAGTATATTTATGTGAAAACTTTTTTTTTTTACAGTGTAGGTTCAATTTTGGCAAGAGTTACCCTTTAACAACTGCAAGGCCGATTATGAATGTAATTTGATACTTACGACTGATCATACCCAAACGCACCGAGACAGTTGCGTTTGGTCGTTGTTCACAGTCGGTGTTTAAGATCTGCTCTAGTCGTTGTAAACTGTCTGTAAGTGTGTTCAGTTCAGTTTTAGACTGTTTCAGCTAGTCGTTAAGTGTGTCCCCGGCAATAGTCGCCTAGCATGAAAATGTTGTTACATATGTGAGTGTTTTAAGCTGGGAACACACTTAACGACTATTTGAAACATTTTAAGACTAAACTCAACACACTTAAAGAATTTCTGTCGACTGGAGCATATTCTATTCTTTGAAAGTCATAGAGGTGCACAAACCCGAGTCACGACGGGACATTCTGCGAACTCAACTGTTAGATCCTGCACCGAAACAAGCATGGATGACAACAGATGCTGCTACCCACATATATAATATATATAATATCATCTACCCACAGCCCCGCTGTCAACTACACTGTTTGTTTGGTGATGCTAATTATTTCTACTGTGTTTTTATCTAATTAGTTTGAAATTAATTTCGTGAGGAGAACTGTTGGAGCTGTTGAACTGAATTGAACCCAAATTTTAGGATCATGGTGAAGGTAGACAATAGACAGTCTTATAGCAGGGTTCCTACGCAGTTTGGAAAAATATGGAAAAAAGAAGGCAAAGTATGGAAAAATATTTGCATTTCCAGACTATTGCCCCTTTAGTTTTCTATAATTTAGTATTGTATAAAAGAAAATGTAAATGTAAATTCATCATACAAGAAGTGTGTTTTCATGGCAGCTGTTTAATGATTCTTTAGTGATTGTCAAACACAACTGAATGATTGTGGCAGGTTATAAGCGTTTTGAGTCTCTTCTCATGATATTCTTAGCACCGTATTACAGAGCCTCCTAAAAGGACCTAAAAAAATTAATCAGACTTTTGTGTGCGCACGAGAAACCATTAAACTTAGCATAGACAATATTGTGCCATCAGCCCATTTCATGTCATGGTTTCTCCACCACCACTGAGGATGCATTAAATTGGACATTAGGCCAATTAAGAAATTGTAATGCGTTAGCATGCAAAAAATTCCTGTGAGTTCACACGTACATGAAATCAGATAAAGTAATTTATGCGATATAGTAATTTATCCCCCCTTTGACTGGGATAGACAACCAGCCTTAGAGTGAGGTTATGGGGTGGTGGAGGGATGCTGTTAAACTGTCATGAAACAGTTGAAATCTCAAGGCCCACAGGGAAGGAAATGAATAGTTGAATAAAGTCGTTATTTTTGTTTGTTTTTTGCGCACAAAAAGTATTATATTAACATTGTAGCAAATTAGCTCAAAATGGAAATATAAATAATTAATAGAATTATTATTACAATCAGTTAACCTGTTCATCCAGCAATCACTCAGTATCAATCTTCAATCATCTCTCAGAAATAATATTTTTCATGGCCACATAAAAATAACTTTCTTAGCAAGTTGCTGTGATCGTTAAAGGGTCTTTGATTTTCAAGCAGTGACCAGAATCAAAACTTTTTCAAAACACAAAAGTTTCACAAAAATCACAGACACAAAAGTAATATAAACAAACGCATACACACAATCACACATACATGGGTAAAATGGAAAGTGAAAATGACTGAATGAAGCTAAAACGGAGACAGGGTAATGAAGCTATGCAGAAGAGTCAGTTAACCACCTGAACAGAGCCATCAGTTTTTTTTGCTCAAACACCTTCGTAACAAGGGGTCTACAGCTTACACTGAACCTCTGTTTATTTTAGTATATTTACAATGCCATAGCCATTGAACGAGCCTCCGGATGCAGTCTCAGAAGAAAGTCTTGATGGTTCAGTAGTTCGATGGTGTTGAAGTTGGTTGACTGAGGACAAACTTCAGCTGTGTCGAAAGAGTCCTCTCTCCAGACCGTTACAACAGGGCGTAAAGTTACAACAGGTCTTGCGCACCGGGGCAAAGGCCCCACGGTGCCGCTGTTGGGCTGGATGTTTCCAGTCCTTTTGGACAACATGTTAGACCCTATACCGACTAAGCTATTGAAAGAGATGCTTCTGGAGGTCATAGATCCTTGTGGTAGATTTTTCCCTAAACCTAACTACGTCCTATAATATTTATACTCTAGCCCGTCTACAGTCGACATCGGCCAAGTCTAACAGAGAGAATCCCACCAGAAAACACGGATACAACAATTTTTATAGAATAGAGGTATGGCACCAATGCCATGATGCATTACATAATTTCCCTACAATTTGATTGGTTCTTCATATGCAAACCCTTCTGTTACCAGGTAAAACAAACTCTGTTTCTGTGATTACTTCATGATCACAAGTTATGAAACTAGACATCTGTCTAGTTTCATTTCCCATATTTGTTATTTATACACTCACACAACCAAAGTCATGAGTTTTCGCCAAAGGGGACACATGCATTTAGCCGAAGAACAGAACGTCTTAGTACATTGTGATTCAGAGTGTTAGAAATGTTAGGCCTAAAAGAGAAATAAGGTTAGATGTTAGAAACATGGTTAGTTTAATATACAGTTTCAAAATCCATCACATCCTCTTCTTAATATCATTAATTCATCTTTGTCATTAGGATACGTACCAAAAACTTTTCAGCTGGCTATGATTAAACCGCTTGTTAAAAAACCTCAACTTGATCCTACAGAATTAGTCAATTACATGCCGATCTCGAATCTACCTTTTTGTCAAAGATACTAGAAAAGGCAGTATCCTCATACCTATGTTCCTTTTTAGAAAGAAATGGCATCTGCAAGGATTTCCAGTCAGGATTTAGACCATACCATAGTACTGAGACAGCTCTCATTAGAGTCACAAATTATTTGCTCTTATCATCCGATCGTGGTTGTATCTCTCTATTAGTGTTACTCGATCTTAGTGCTGCATTTGATACTATTGACCACAACATTCTTTTAAATAGACTCGAAAATGATGTTGGCATTAGTGGAATTGCATGGTTTAAATCATACTTATCTGACCGTTATCAGTTTGTAGCAGTAAATGAGTAGATGTCTTATCGATCACAAGTTCAATATGTAGTACCACAAGGCTCCGTACTAGGACCGATGCTGTTCACTGTTCACTAGGACATGCTACCCTTGGGAGGTATCATTAGGAAGCATGGCATTAGTTTTCACTGTTATACTGATGATACTCAGCTCTATATTTCTTCACGCCCTGACAAAACTTACCAATTCACAAAATTAACGGAATGCATAGCTGATATAAAAAACTGGATGACTAGTAATTTCCTACTACTTAATTCTAAAAAAAACAGAATTTCTAATTATTGGAAAAAAAACGTCCTCATGTAATAACATAGAATACTGTCTAACACTTGATGGCTGCTCTGTCAAGTCTTCGTCGTTGGTTAGGAACCTGGGTGTGCTCTTTGATACCAATCTTTCATTTGAATGTCACGTTTCTAGTATCTGTAAAACCGCATTCTTCCATCTTAAAAATATATCTAAATTACGTCATATGCTCTCAATGACAAATGCGGAAAACAATTAGTTCATGAGTTCATGACATCAAGGCTAGATTATTTTAATGCTCTTATGGGTGGTTGCCCTGCATGCTGAATAAACAAACTACAGCTTGTCCAAAACGCAGCAGCTAGAATTATTACCAGAACCAGGAAATATGACCATATTAGCCCGGTTCTGTCAACACTGCGTTGGCTCCCTATTAAACATTGTAAGTAATCAGCAATATTTTAAAAATCATACAAAGCACTAAATGGTTTAGCTCCCCAGTACTTGAGCGAGCTCTTAACGCATTATAGTCCTTCACATCTATTGCTAATCCTAATTGTATTGTAATTGTAGATCCTTTTCCTATTTAACACCAAAACTTTGGAACAGTCTTCCTAAAATTGTAACTGTTTGGGAAGCAGATACAGTCTGTCAGTTTAAATCTAGACTAAAAACACATCTCTTTGACCTAGCATACACATAACACATTATCAACTTCTATAATTCAATGTTAGGCTGCATAGATTAGGTCAACCAGAACCGGGAACACTTCCCATAAATCCTGATGTATTCTTTACATCATAAGAAGAATGGCGTCTACGCTAATATTAGTCTCTCTGTTTATCCCGAGGTTTACCGCAGTCCGCCAGATCCAGGCCGTATCCAGACCTCATGAAGGACATGCGCCTGGACACGACAACGCAGTCCTGAAGTGTCAACTAGTCTCTCCCCTGTGAAGGCCTCCTTCCCTTCCCTTTACCTCTGTACAGATAAAACATTGTCAAAATAATTTTCCGTTCACATGGCTACGCGGAAGCGATAAATTCTGTATTATATATTTTTAAGGCCAGACAAGTGATTTGTTGAGGTCAATTTGTAAAGAAAGACTACACGGCTGCGCACATATATTTTCAAACGCGCATACCTATAGACTAAACGCGTAATACGCATGTGCACACCGTCAGCATTTTCAGAGGTTCGTGTTTTTGAAGCTTGCGCAGAGAACTTTTTTTCCCCCATAATTTTTCAAGGCTTGCACTTTGGAACCTATTTCAAGGTTTGCGTACTCGAGCCACCAGAAACTGTAGTTGTGCGAATGAGCGGGCCGGAGCGTGTTATGTGTTTTCTGTTAGAACGGTGTCATGCTAGCTAAGTCACAAAGGGCTTGCTAGATCATTAATAAAATCTAATGAATAATTGTCCATCTAATTGGTCCAGACACTACTTTATGTTTATTATTTGTAATCTGGATTTGCATGACTTGGAACATGGAATTACACATATGATCTTCTAACCTTAATACTATGCTTTTACACAGAGGGAAGAGCAAGAGCCGCAGACCAAAAGGGAGAGTGAAGACAAGAGCATCACTATAAACATTGACATCCCTGATGTTCTCAAGAAGAAGCTGGAGGATGACTGTTACTATATCAACAAAAGAAAGAAGGTATGCCTGTTACTCCTTCGGTAACATGTACATAAAAGAGCATGATTCAATGCAAACCAGAATAGGGCTGTGCGATATGGACCGAAAAAAACCTATCAAGATTTCTTTGATCAATTTTGCGATTTCGATTTTAATCACGATTTTGACACGCACAGACACGCTTTACATTCATAAATGCATTCAGTGTGAATTTGAAACATATTTCCAAAGGAAACCAATTAGAGCTTTATCAAAAAGCTGTAACATGTCTCTAAAACAGACAAGGCAAAATAATCAATAAGTAAATGTGTAACAAAATGTCTCTAGAACAGACGTATGGCAAAACAAATATTAATTTGGGTAATCAAACCATCAAAACTATAAAAACAAAACAAAAAAAAAACAGACTAAAGTCTCTCAAATAACTAAAATGAGAACAGTGCTAAACACACGTCGGTTTAATTCATACTGGGAGCCAGAGGGCGCCCTCGAGCAGAAATTCCACATTTTCAAACACGTTATTAAACATTGTCTTTTGTTGGACAACAGGTTTATAAATGCTTCACATAACAAGTTTGGGAAGATGTTTGGCGCGTGTTGCTTTTTCAAATGCACGTTATGTTCACGTTCAAAGGCACGTTGCTTTTTCAAATGCATGCGACTCGCACTTGCAGTGCTTTCAGAGATCGAGCAGCATTTACTACTGATCACAGAGCCGCTCTTTACTAACACAGCCTTTGCGATTTCATAATCACACTAAGCCAAATCGTGATTTCGGTTCGATTTCGATTAATCGTGCAGCCTTTGACCAGAACTTGATTTAATGTCTCAAATTAATATGATTAAAATGGAAACACCACAGCATATCTCTTGGTCTACCAGTAAGTTTAGATTTTCTTTGGTTTCTTGATTGCAAAATTCTCTTTTGAATCTCCTTTAAGGGCATTGTCTAATGTTAACAAAAATTATTATTTAATTTTGTTTCATTGACAACAGCTGGTGAAGCTTCCATGCCTGATGAATGTAGTAAACATTCTGGAGTCCTATGTGAAACACTTCACCCTAAATGCAGCTTTCTCAGCTAATGAGCGCTATCGGCACCCTCAGAGCTCCACGCAGACCAATATGAGCCTACACTATATGCCACCTGAGAGGAAGTAAGTTGTAGCCATTTTTTTTGTCATATACATAATGGTACACTCGTCATCCATCCAGGCTTCGGCTCCCTGTTTTTGGCCTGAGACAATGGGATAGGTTCCAGATTTCCCACAATCCTACATATGACAAGGGATTTACAGGGTTTGTTCAGAGTTTTGAAAATGCTTGATTTAAACTGTTATGTTTTCAGGGTTTGAAATGTGCTGGAATTTTTGGAAAAAAAGAAAATTGACCTTTTATTAAAAAACAAATCATGAATCATTTCATATTGTGTACATTACTTTATTGCCGCACAAGTAACACTTGAAAGTGCTGGAGGGGGAGGGAGGGAGGGGGGGCGGCGATTTGAGTGGAGCGCGAAGCAAACTGCGTTGAGCGCTGAGCGATAATGAGCGGAGCGGCCTGATGTGGCTTTGAGCGGCGGAGCGGAGGGGTGAACAGTTCCGTGAGCGAGGAGCTGAGATTCTCACCGCTCCACTCCGCTCATATGCTCTGGAGGTGATTACTAAGGCTGTAAATAAATTAAATATTGAATGGCCAGCAGATAAAAGGTGTGCTCGTCCCTCTATTGGTTCACCCCCATCACGGCGCCTTCCATTTTTTCCTGATCTGCACAGCGAGCTGTCTAGATCATGGGAAAAACCTTACTCATCTTGTATCAGCCCCCAAGTTCATGTATATTCAGATATTAGGGGTTTGAGAGAGTATGGATATGGGGCAATGTCCCAGGTAGAACAGACGCTTGCGAGCTATCTGTGTCCCGGTTCAGCATCGTCCCTGAAGGTGCCGGATTTTCTCACTAAACCATTAAAGAAAACTACTTCTAATCTAGAGGGAAAAGCATATACGGCAGTGGGTCAAGCCGGAGCCTGCATACACACTATGGCAGTGTTACAAGCATATCAGGCTGACCTGCTGGGGGATTTGGACATAAGTGAGGTAGATAAGCCCGATGGGGTTCGAGAACTTCGTCGGGCCACAGATTTATCTCTCAGGGCTATTAAGGAGACCGCCAGAGCAATCGGGCGGTCTATGGCAGCCCTTGTGGCCACTGAGAGACACCTCTGGCTCAATTTGACGGAGATCAAGGAGAAAGATACAGCTTTTTTTCTTGATGCTCCCATCAATCCCAGTGTTTCCCCTACCATGTATTCAGAGCGGCGCAGCGCCGCCGCAAAATCTTCACATGATCAGTAACATCACGACATTCACTTCATTTACTTACACACCTAAAAACACTGAGACACACCTAAAAACGACCGCCGGCGCTGCTAATGCGGTGGCTCTGAATCCACTTGTTGACAAGAAAGGAGGAAAGAGCCACATATGGAAATATTTTCGATTAGGCTAATGTCACGTTGCCATAAGGGGCCGTTCACACAGTGCGTTTTTTGCGCGTGCAAATTCGTTATTTCAAATGTAGGCGCGGCAAGCGCGCTCATTCATGGTTGCATAGCAACGACAGACGCCAAGCGCTTTTGTAAAGAATAAAGCGGTGCGAACTGCGGTCTCCATGAGGACGAGGAAGTATCAGCAAAGAATTGATTGATTTCTAGCCCTTGCATTAGCTTTACTACTAGATATATTATGGAGATGAGAAATAAAAAGCCGCCCTGTGCTGCTATGATCAGCTGTTCGGCCGAGCTTTCGATGTTGTTACGGAAAGGCCGAGGCTGATCGATTGTTTTTTGTCACATGACCTGTTGAGATGTTTTCATCTATGGTTTTCATCTCGCCGCGTCGTTTCTAGAGCCCGCTTGCCTTAGAATTGGAATTGAAATAACGTAATTGAATAACCTTAGAATTGAAATAACGAATTTGCGCGCAAAAAACGCGATATGTGAACGGCTCCTAAAGTGGACTCGGGTGCGGTTGTATCGGGGTAGTTTTACGAGTACGAATAGTCTACATGAGCACATTATCGGACCGACACCCGAGTACTGGTATCAGTATCTTCTTTTACGGTCTATGGTATCGGTGCATCCCTATTTATGTCATTAATATTAGTGAGTCAGAAAAGCAGTTCTAGGCTTATTCTTGCCTGGATAACTCTTGGCAGGTTTAAAAAGCCCTTTTAAAATTAAATATGAGTTTTGGATTAAATAAAAGTACAGTTAAGTCAAATAAAAACGCGTTTTATATCTTGCATAGTTTGGTAACACTACAATAAGATACCATTCATTAACATTACTTAATGCGTTATCTAACATCAACACATTGAGTGAACAATATATTTTTTCAACATGAATTAATGTTTGTGAATGTTACTTAATACAAACACTTGATTGTTCATGTTTGTTCACTTCATTCATTGTGCATTAAATAATGTTAACAGATATAACTTTTGATTTTAAAAATGTATTAGTAAATTTTTATAATAATTTTTCTGGGTTGTGCCGTTTAATTTTTCCCCTATCAATTTCTACCTTATAGCTGAAAATGAACACAAAAGATATGAATAATCCTGTCTAAAATTATAAAATGTAGGTTTCTGTTTGTGACCAGTTCAAGGTACGTGCTGCAATAATCATGCCTTGAATCTGTTGATGATATGTCATATTTGTATGTCTCAAAATGTCCATTTCTATCCACAAAACTTGCCAGAAGTCATGGTTTAAGGGGTTATTTAAAAAAAAATTCTTCCAGAGGTGCATGCCCCCGGACCCCCCCGCGCTCGGCTTGGTGACAACCTCCGGCATGTGATGGCTGCTGGAAAAATTTCTAGGGGAAACACTGAATCCTTCTGGTCTCTTCGGCTATGTGGTTATTTCGGTCGTCAAGAGTCTCCAGGAGGCCAAATTTCAGTCAGAGGCGGTTAAAATATCTCTCCCTCGCTATGTCCAACCCCCTGGGGCTGCTAGGCGTGAGCAGCTCAGCTGTCTAGTTTCTCATACGCACCACAGCAGCCAAAGCCTTCGCAGCAGAAGCCGATTCCGAGGGCCGTTCTTCACGCCGAGAAGGCTTCGGCTCAAAAGAAATGGCGCCACCGGCGTCAGACCAGTGAGGGCAGCCCCAACCAGGATGGGACGGTGTACACCTCATTATACAGTGGGAAACACTGAATTTTCCATCTCGGTGTCCTCACGAGACCATTCTGCCAACCCCGCCACCCTTTGTGCTTCGGGGCGCAGCGGTCTCCAGCGAGCCTTTGGCGCAGTATCAACTCGACATTGCGTCAGACTCGCACCCTCTGAGGGGGGTTCGAAAACTGGTCTCAACTACACCAGAGGCCAGCCTCGAGGGGCTAGTTTCCTTGGTAGATTTTCTGGCAGCGCGGAAGCTACTGCCAAATATATCTCTATGGGTCCTGCAGTTAGTAGCAAGAGGCAGATTCCAGTTTGGTTCTCGTCCTCCAGGCTAGAGCTGGGTTTCGATTCAAATTTCAAGAATCGATTCGATTCCGATTCTCAAGATCTTGAATCGATTATCATTATTCGATTCGATCCGATCCGATCTGATCCGATTTTCGAGATTTAGATAAGTGTTTTTGTTTTTTCCAGCTGTTACCTGAATTACAGGACTGTAGTTATGCAACATATTGATACTATTAGGCTATTATAGACATTTAACTGCTTGTTTTGAACTTCATGCATGTGTATTAAATGTTAAACAAGTTCATAATGATAACAAACAAGACTGTTTATCGTGGTGATGTGTAGCCTACAGAGGCTTCGCACAGACAGTGAATGAGCTGTTACCTGAATTACAGGACTGTAGTTATGCAACATATTGATACTATTAGGCTATTATAGACATTTAACTGCTTGTTTTGAACTTCATGCATGTGTATTAAATGTTAAACAAGTTCATAATGATAACAAACAAGACTGTTTATCGTGGTGATGTGTAGCCTACAGAGGCTTCGCACAGACAGTGAATGAGAGAGATCGGCAGAGCGCGTGCGATTACCTGCGTCTGTCTCTGAAGTCATATGTATTCGTGAAAAAGGTTGCCGTGTCAAAGGAAAGCGAAATATTTGTCGTATCATCCTTTTAACGTTCACGTCACGGGTATTTACCATAAATGCCCGACAGGAGCAGCGCTGGTCAGCATTCCACTGCGCGAGGAAGCCGCGGGGAAATAAAATCAGCGAGTCACGCATTGAATCAATGCCATATTGGTCTCTAATAAGTGAAGCATCAGCTTCAGCGTTACCCATGCGACGCATTGCTGCTCAGCTGAGCCTTGAAAAGTGGAACTCAAAGTTAAAAATAATTAACACCTTGTTTCATTACATCTCTTTTAATGAATCAGCTTTTTTGAACGTGTTCGTTGAATGAACGAATGACTCACTCAAAGCCCGTTGTTGTAACAGTGTGCGCGCTGAGTGAAAGCCTTTCAATGCGCATACAGGGATCTCCCAGTCGCGGCAAGTTAAAGTTCACGGGGAAAATGTAAGCCTATTATTAAATCGATCCTCTGAGTTACGGATCGATCTTTAGAAATTAATATGAAAATCGATTCAGAATTGGTGAATCGATTTTTTTCAACACAGCCCTACTCCAGGCTACAACGGGGTGTTGCTCACGTTAGTGCATCCCGAGCAGGCTCTGGTAATGGAGCAAGAGGTAAAGGCCCTGTTAGCAAAGAAAGCTATAGAGCAGGTGTACTCACCCGACATTGCGTCGGATCTTTACAGCCGTTATCTCATTTTTCCAAAACAGGATGGTGAGCTACGTCATTTTCTAAATCATCTTCTGTTGGGAGTGTTCGGTGCTGGAACTCAAGTCCATGTTGCCGACACTCAAACAGATTGTGTCTTAAACCAGATCCGAGGACTGGTTTGTCACGATAGATCTGAAAGACTCATACTTTCATATCTCCATCCTCCCTCAGCACAGGAGGTTCCTGAGGTTTTCTTTCAGGGGCAAAGAACACCAGTATCAGGCACTTCCTTTCGGTCTAGCTCTATCATCCCACACATTCATGAAGTGCGTAGATGCAGCTCTGGCCCCGTCCAGGCTGCAGTGCATACGCATTCTGAATTGCATAGACGACG